TTCCCAGCAGAACTAGGAGAAACCATTTAGGGCAACAGCATCTTCATTCCAAAGAGCTGTTTGCTGGGTGAGTAGCAGCTTTCAGCTCTTGCTCAGTGCTTCCCCTCTGGCTCTCCTGAGGGCTTTCTGGTATTCCTTACCTCAGGTATGTTATCCCTACTTCCTCCTTTCCTAGTCTGCTCTCCTGCTTTGCTCATACAGCAGTGCCATGCCACCTTCTTCTGTGGAAGCACAATGCTCTGCCCCCACAGAATATTGTGCAAATGACTTAGGATGGCACATCCCAATGAAGTGTAAAGTTACCCTCGAAAACACTGGAGTGTTCCCTGCAGAGACATAAGAGATCCCTGAGGGTTTCCAAGCTCATTGTCACAGTGTTTTGCCGTGTTAGCAATGTACACATTGTTTTAGTGATGCTTTGTCACGCTCTCCAAATGCTCTTCAATAGAGCCCAAGGAAAAAGTCTCCTCCAGGTGGACTGGATTACTCCAGCTCATTTCAAGGAAACAAGCAGGACCCACACCTGAGCCTCTTCCAGCCAGGTGTAAGTGCCAGAGGAGAAGGAATCAGCAGAGTCCTGGTGAAAGCTGATCCCAAATACCCCAGAGAACAGAGGAATGAGGATCCTGGTTTCCAGCCTTCTGAACCAAAGCTTTCACATCAGGCTCTACACAGTTGCTGTTTCCTAACTGGAAAATGTCTCCTTTTTATAGCCCGAGGTGCATTTCCCTCTGCCTCACACCAGGGCTTGGCAGGAAGCTGGAATAAGCCAGGAATCCTTCCTTCTTTCCCCTTCTCCTTCCCCTCCAGCCATGGTAACACCAGGTATCACTAGGAAACAGGATTCCTTAGTGTCACAGCTGCCCACAGGACTTTGAAAATAGCAACAGGGGCACTGGAGAGTGCAGCTGGTGCTATCTGTCCAGGCAGCAGATGAATAAATACTACGATATCCCACAGCAAGGGAATGGGAACTGGGAATGGGACCTTTTGCACATCTCTGTGCAGCTCAAACCTCACCTACTGAGGCAGCAATGCTTAACATTGCTCTGTCCCCTCTGCCTGTATTGAGCTGCCCAAACAGCTTGATTTGCAGTGAAGATTTAGAGGAGATATCTGTAAATCAAGTTTCCTGATGTGAAGAGTCATGGGAAAACACCTCAGTGCATTAATTACTTCACGGAGTTGTGAATCCTCCTGACTCAGAGGTAGAGGCTTGGCAAGTCCTTGTCTGGAATGATAAACACCTGCACTTATCCCAGCTGGAGAAGGCAGAGCTGGATGCTTCTGAACCCTCTTGAAACCTACAGTTCCATCAGACCAAAACCTCACAACAGAGTCTTAAAAACTGAATTGAAGAAACAAAACCAGACAAAGAGATTTGGAGACTAAATA